TCTGATGATACTTTTCACACTCCCCTCAGCCCTTTCTAGTTCAGTCTCTTGCTGCCCTTTACCCTTTCACCATCCACTGCCCCACTGTTATCCGTAACCTATTACTCGTCCATCTCCCTTTTGCCACCTGATGCCCTCGCTTCCTTCCTGCCCTGCAGCGCTGTATAGTCCTTGTGGCTTAGCGCTTCTTTTTGATTATAATAATAATAATAATGTGTACTGATAGTTTACCTCCTATTGATTTATTGTTTTGCTTATCAAAAATACAATAACCTCATTTAAATGCCTTGAACATCTTAATATATTTATTTTTTCCACCTTTATTGCAGACATAGTATGATTTTTTTTTTTTTAACTAACACTGATCAGCTACAAAAACTGTCTTGCTGACTCTTCTTTCCCTTGAGGGAGGTTCTTTGATGCTAGTGAAGGCCTCTTGATCCAAGGAATTGGACTTGTCCTCTTCCTTTGAACTTGATTGCTTACCATTCCCTAGGTGCTGTATAACCCCTATGGGTTTAGTGCTTCCCCCTAAGTATAATAATAATAAATCCTTTATTTTCTAACCACCTTTCTCTCAACATAAACACTTCTTTCCCTCTACCAAGCCTCTTCTAACTAAATACTGCCTTTGAATTCATTATCATCAAAATTATAAATCAGTTTGGTAAGGCACATGCTCAAATTCCAGAGATCGTGTTTATAGCAGTGTTAATACTAACGCTACCATAAGTATGAATATTTTATAGCTGCCATTTAGCACTTTGTTGATTTGAAATATGGCACTGGAGACATGAACATTGTGGGTCATTAGGAAGATTTAATCTGCTTAACAATTCACTAAATACAGTCATACTGCATTATAAGTATAGTACAGTACAGTGGACCCCCGCATAACGATTACCTCCGAATGAGACCAATTATGTAAGTGTATTTATGTAAGTGCGTTTGTACATGTATGTTTGGGGGTCTGAAATGGACTAATCTACTTCACAATATTCCTTATGGGAACAAATTCGGTCAGTACGTACTGGCACCTGAACATACTTCTGGAGTGAAAAAATATCGTTAACCAGGGGTCCACTGTACTGTTTCACTATATTTTATTGTAATAAGTGAAAACTTCATAGTAAGTGTTGCATGATACCTTTATGCAGGTTAAGTGCAGATGTTCTTTTTGACTTTGAAACAAATTTGTTATGCCAACTCTAGCTTTCCTTGCTAGCTCATCAGTTCCTCTGTTGCGTTGTTTCCCTTAGTCATTAGCATTCCTCAACCTTAGGCATTTTGGAACCCATGAAGGTTGAGCTTATTTTGTTAATATAATGATAAAGGCTTGTCTCTACCACCACAATGAAAATGGACTGGTCCTGGACAAAGCCTCAACTGTACAAACTTGTGATTAAGTGGAGTTGGTCCATTTTACTGAGTGTGTGACTGGACTGGACAGGCATTCAATATAGCCGATATGGTCCACTTTGTGGCTATCTGAATCAGACAAAACCTAGAGGGACAGGCAGGAATAATGGAAAAAGCATTACAATGGATCAAGGCATACCTAACAGGAAGGAAACTAGTGATGGTCCATGAAGAGATGTCAGAATGAGTGCCTATGATGAATAGGGCTCTACAAGGATCAGTCCTAGGGCTGGTGCTGTTTCTTGTATACATGAATGACATTGAAGGGATAATCAGAAGTATGTCTGTCTGCAGACGATGTGAAACTAATGAGAATACAAGTGGACGAGAACCAGGAAAAGCTACAAATGGATCTGGACAGGCTGCAGGTGCAAAGGCTGCAAACCTCACTTACGAAGGACCTTGGGGTGAGTATCATACTGAGCATATTCCCTGAGGTGCACATCAACCACACTGCTGCAGCAAATGCATGTCTGGCAAATTTAAGAATAGCTTTTCGACATCTGGAGTTAGTCACAGCACTGTACACTGTGTATGTCAGGCTCATATTGGAGTATGCAGCACCAGTATGGAACCCACACCTAGTAAAGCATGTCAAGAAATTGGAGAAAGTGCCTCTATTCAATACTTTCAATATTTCACCCTTCATGGGGGTGTCATGATACTGGTGAAAGGCTCTTGATCCAGAGAATTAAAGTTGTCCTCTTCCCTGGATCATACATGGCTGCCTCCCATTCCCCAGGCACTTTATAACATCTACAGTTTTAGCACTTCCCCATAAATACATAATTTTAATATTTTATCACTATTTGTATCTTTCATGTGGCCTGTGATCTTTTTTCCCTTTTTCATAACTGGCATTTCAACATCTAATTCATTCATTCATCTCTTAATCAATTTTTATTATATAATTAAACTCTTGTCTTGTACCAGCCAGCCAGTGATGAAGTGTAGCATTAACAGCGTAGCAAGTAAGTTAAGTGATTAATCGATAGAAAAAGGACATGAATCTAACTTCTCCAATGTTGTTGGAGTTATATAGGGCTAGTGACAACACTGCTGCCTCTGCTGCCGCCTTCACCACCATGTACGGCTTATGCTCTCAGTGGCCCTTATTCACCCAACAACAACAACATAACACCACTCGTAAAATGCATATTATTATTATAATAAAAAAGAAGTGCTAAGCCACAAGGGACGTAAAATGCATAATGACATATTTTATTCATTCTAGAATATATGTCATGTTTCTATATTATTAATATTGTTTATTATGTCATATTAGATGAATTGTGATAGATTAATATGCAGTAGAGTTGATATTAGTGTCATATTGAAGCATACTGTCCCGTCTCCAACAGTAAACTCACCTTCCTCTCCCCTCTGCCCCGCCTGTCATACACCAACAAGTCTTCAGTAAAGGGAAGTGTGATGTTAAATGTTCATTTATACATTTTATTAGTGCTTTATATTTATTTGTCATTCTTTTCTGTATGTAAATCTATATTTAAGCTAAAACAAAATTTTTTGTTAATACTTCTGGGTGTCTGAAATGGATTAATTGGATTTACATTATTTCTTAGGGGGAAAATTATTTCAGTTTTCGCCAGTCTCTCTGGAATGGATTAATGACGAAAAGGGAGGGTCTACTGTATGTGTATAAATAAGTCACCATGGGACCTATGAAGATTAGTGATAACAGCCAACCAAACAGAAAATTGGTTGGGAAGAACTAGTTCGATACTCAAAAGGAGCAGCACTCGAACAGTCTTCTGGAATGAAATAAGGTCGCATAGTGCGGTTTCACTGTATTATTGTTTTTATGTTAAAACAAGAACAGTGCAGTATAATACATTTATTAACTTTTTCTTTTCAGGTCTATTGCCAGCCTAGAGCACCATCACACAGTTCATATCATTGTGCAAGTATTGTGCTGTACTGGTACATTAGTGTAAATCAAAGACATTCAATAAAATTAACTCTCTATGCAGCACTGAATGACCCCTATAGGTTTATTTTTTGTGAATATTTTTTTAAGGGATTCAGAGAAACCAGTTAGCCGGACTTGAGTTCTGGAGGTGGGAAGTACAATGCCTGCACTTTAGAGGAGGAGGTTGGGATATTGACTGTTTGGAGTGACATCTAAACTGTTGTATCTGTGCACCTCTGCAAAGACAGTGATTGTGTGAATGGTGGTGAAAGTGTCTTTGGGTCACCCTTGTCTCGGTGGGAGACAGCCAACGTGTTTGGAAAAAAGAAAATTCTATAACAGAATCTGAAAACATTGTGGAGAATATGTAAAAGGAAATTAAAATTATTATTATAATCATGGGGGAGCGCTAACAGAAATTAAAAGTAAACACTGAAACGAGCAAGGTGACAATAATAATAGTCTACGCAGTGAAAGACTGGATATCAGACTTAAAGAAAGGAGTATGGAGGAAGTGTGTTGAGATATCTGGTTGTAGATATGTTAACCCTCTGACTGTTTCGGGCGTATAAAACGTCTTATGAGCCAGCGTTTCAGACGTATATATACTCAATAATTCTAGCGGCTTCAAATCAAGCAGGAGAAAGCTGGTAGGCCCACATGTGAGAGAATGGGTCTGTGTGGTCAGTGTGTACTGTATAAAAAAAAAAAAACCTGCAGCACGCAGTGCATAATGAGAAAAAAACCTCTGACAGTGTTTTTGGATTAAAACGCTGACTTTGAGGTGTATTTTCCTATAGTATTTATGGTTCTATTTTCGTTTTCTTGGTCTCATTTGATAGAATGGAAAACAGATTATATAAAGAGAGATGATTTGATTAGTTTCACAATGAAAACAACCTGGAAATTGAGCTCAAAGTAGCCAAAATGTTTGATTTTTACCAATGTTCAAGAGTAAGCAAATCACACCACATGTCCAATACACATCAACTGGGGAATCTAATATTCTTTCATTAGTGCACTGATATTATTTATACCATTTTTACAATAATGCAGTAGTCTGCATAACTGTAAATCTTCTATTTTTTGTGAATAAAAAATCAAAACAGAAAGCAAGAGTAATATAAGAGGGGCCTAGAGACATGACTAATAATCCGAGGATATGTTATTTTAGTGCCAAGAATGTCTGCACTGTTTATTCTGAACCCTATTTTGAAATTGGCATCTTTTTTAATTTGTGTGAAATTGGCCAAATTGCCAAATTTTGACCACTTTATTGGGTAGTTGAGATCGGTAAATGAGTGGTTTCTTGTACTCGATTGATAGAAAAAATGGAGTTCTAAAGAAATGGCTATGAGTTTGGTTAACTGGAACAATGTAATTGGCCGAAAATAAGGCTCAAAGTCGGCAGAATCGCCGATGCGTATATATCGCCAAGATCGCTAACTTCGCGGGAGCGTAATTCCCTAAGTTTTCGATCCAATTTCGTACTTTTGGTGTCATTACCATCGGGAAAAGATTCTCTATCATTTCATAAAAAAATTTTCAAAAAAATTTTCGACACCAGGAGACACTTCAGGATTCGGGGTTGTGACAGTCAAAGGGCTAACAGATGGGTTTGTGAAAGAGGAGGCAATTCATAAAATAGACGAAGGGCTGAAAGGTACATGAAGTGTCAAGGCATGTGGTGAGAAAGAATTTATCTATGGAGGATAGTGGTACCAACACATTTACACAAGTGTGAGGTGTGGACTTTGAACGTTGCAGCGGAGATGTCAGGTTTGAGAGTAATGTGTGGCATAAATACTGTGCAGACAATTTAGAGAGGATGCCACAGACCAGGATGACCAAGAGGGTGTACAAATCTGGGTTGGAAGGAATTAGGGGTATGGGTCATCCCAGAAAGGGTTGGGAGGGAAATGAGAGCTAGGGGGTTGAGCATCTAACACTTTGTGAGCATGTTAGATTGGAGTGCATGGAAACAATTGATGTACGTATATGGTTTGATGGATTCAGGGAAACCGATTAACCAGTAGATTGGAGGGTCATCTGAACTGTAATGTGTGTGTACTTCTGGCAATAATAATATGAAATTAAGCACTAAGCCTGAAAGGTCACATAGCACTGCAGGGGAGGGATGTGCTAAAGGAGGAAAATGCAAAGGTTAGGTTGTGTGTGGCCAATATACAGGAGTGAAAATACACTTCTGGCAGGAGAGCTATCAGATGAATGAATTTTTTAAGGGTTATCCTTTCTTAGTGGGAGATGGCCAGTGTTAAACACATTTCAGTAAGATGCATTTTCTCTGCCCAATTATACATTCATTTTTAAAGTATACAATACACCCTGCCTCGGTGAGAAACGGATGTGTTAAAAAAAAAAATACAGTGGAAGACTATCAAATAGCTTAAATTTTAGTTAACCTCCCTAATGAAATCTATGAAGGGTTCTTGATCATGAGACTGGAACTATTTCCCTTTGGATCCAACTTCATTACCTCCAATTCCTCACTAGACCCTTATGGATTTAGTGCTTTCCCATGAGTACTGTACTACAATTTAATTTAAAAGATAAAATATATTTGATATAGAAATTATTTCAGTCAGTGTACAATAAGACTATATGAACTGTACAGTACTGCTGTAATTATATTTCAATGTTATATATTTAAAGTAATTATATGTCAACATTCAAAATGACTTCGCTAACAAAATGATAATGAAACCTGATCACCTATTCCAAAGACACTATGATTCTTCAAGGTTTTGCACTTGAGAATGATAATTAGTCTTCATACCATTTTTTACTAGATACTGAATTCACAGATGATATTTTTGCTTTGTACTTCTGCACTATTGCATTAAATGCTCTTTCATCCTTAATATCTGCTTTCATTTTCTTGCTTATCTTCTTTTTGTTCCTTTTTCTCTTCTTTTTTGCCTGACCTTCTGATGCTTCTTGAGGATTTATGGATGAAGATTCTCCACGGTCTTCGTGTTCTGGCCGCTTTCTTTTTCTACCGAGGGCTCGATCTCTCTGTTCTTTTCTAAACTGTTTTCTGCTGATTTTTGTTTTGCCTTTAATATCCCTTTCTCGATGTCGTATCTGAAATAATTTTTATTTTAAAAACATGACACTGCTTGCTTTTAATTATTCTTTCCTTGTTTTCCCTGCATAAAATCATGTCTGTGCAATATGGCATATAATAAAATAGGCAAAAGTTACTTCTCCAACAAAGAATAAAAGTTACAAAGTCATAGTTGGAACTACTAACAAATAATCCACTTTAGATAACGTTTCAGTCATCCTGGATTATTTGTAAATCCTTCAATATTTCAGCTATAATAATCTACACTAAATATAGTTAGCATAATCCAATTGTAAAGTAAAAATTTTAATACAAGCAAAATAAAATAGCTTTACCTTTGGTCCATAATTCACAGGGAGATTTTTGTTACAGGGATCAGACTTTGAGCCCATGAACATAGGCTGACTCTCTCCCTCAGAAACTTCACTCATTTTCACAGGCTGCTTCTTTATCTCACTAGTGGTTTGTTTATCTGAAAAGTATTATACCTACTTAATATATACAGCAGTTGCTTTTTTAACATAAAGGAAGAAAAAGTTTCACAATCTTATGCTCGTTCTCTCACTTCCCAGAAACGTGCAGACTTCACACTTCAGATGACCCTCCAAATTGCAACATCCCCACCCTTCTTCAGAATGCAGGCCCCATACTTTCCTTCTCCAGGACACTCCAACATAAGTGTTGGGTGTCCAAGTCCTTAGCACTTAAAACCTTTACCTCCTTCCTATCCTTCATTAAAGATCTACCACTCCAACCAATATTTATAAGCCATCCTAGTTTTCTCCATCCTCTCTATGTCCAACCACTTAACAACTCCACCTCTGGATAACACTTCTGGTAACCCCACATCTAATTCTAATCTTCATGCTTCAAATTTTGTGCATAGCATTCAAACCACATATTGCCCTCAAGCATATACTGCCTCCAGTCTCCTCCTTGCTACAACATTCAAAACCCATGTAACACTGGTGCAACTATATTCTAGTAACACATGATGAGCTTTGGGAAAGTGACCACTAGTAACTCAAGTTTCAATACAGTGGAACCTCAAAAATCGAACGTATCACATATCGAACGTTTTGAAAATAAGACCATTTTTTCAGACAAACTGTGTCCCTATTATCGAACGCGCCCCTATTTTCGGACCGCCGGGTACGGGACCTGTCCGCTGGTCTGCTCTGTCTGCCTCCCCGCGAGCAGTCTAGCTTTGTTTATGCTTGAGTGAACACTAACCTGCGATCTCATTCACACATTTTACGATTATTTAATTGTGTTTAGTGCTTGTGGGGCTGTGAAATAAACTGCCATGGGCCCAAAGAAACTTGCTAGCAGTACCCCTGTGGTAAAGAAAGTGAGAAACACCATAGATGTGAAGAAGGAAATAATACAGAAGTATGAGATTGGAGTGAACTTGTTGAGCTTACCAGGATGTACAGAGGACTGTGGTCAGTTATTTTGAGACAGAAACAGACGACTGTGGACAGTTATTTTGTGAGACAAACAGACGACTGTGGACAGTTATTTTGTGAGACAGAAACAGATGACTGTGGAGTTATTTTGGGAGACAGAAACAGACGACTGTGGAGTTATTTTGGGAGACAAACAGATGATTGTGGACAGTTATTTTGTGAGATAGAAACAGACGACTGTAGACAGTTATTTTGTGAGACTGGGGTCCAATGAGACTCAAGCTGGTCCTAGTGGCATTAAAATACAGAGAAGGGAAGCAACCCCAGAGAGGGCTTTGATACCGGAAGTCCTCATGGAGGGGGATTCTCCTTCCAAAGAATAACCCCAACTCCCTCTCTCCTCCTCCCTATCTTCCAGATGCCATCACCACCAATCTTCAATAAAGGTAAGTAAAAATGTTATTTTATATTACTATACATAATTAAAGACTATAGCATTTGTTGTGTGTACGTAAAACTGTAATTAATCTCTATAAATAAATGTATTTTTTTTTGTGAATATTTTTGGGTTTCTGGAACGGATTAATCGTATTTCCATTATTTCTTATGGGAAACATTGCTTCGATTTTCAGACTTTTCGAATTTAGAACTAGCTCCTGGAACGGATTAAGTTCGAAATTTGAGGTTCCACTGTATGTATCATGGAATTACCCTAACCCTTTCAGGGTTGAGATCCTTTGTATCAAACTTGCTCTTGGGTTGAAGATTTAAAAAAAAAAAACAATCTTATGAAATGATAGAGAATATTTTTCCGAAGGTAATAACATCAAAAGTACGAAATTTGGTGGAAAACTCACAGATTTACGCTCTCGCAAAGTTAGCAGTCTTGGCGATATTTACGCATTGGCGATTTAGCCCACTTTCAGTCCTATTTTTGACTAATTCCATTGTTCCATTTGACCAAACTTATGGCTATTTCACTAGTATTCCTTCTATTCTATTGACTGAGTACAAGAAACTGCCAGTTTTCCTTGAAATTGAGCTCAAAGTAGCAGAAATGTTCGATTTTTGATGATGTTCAAGAGTAAACAAGTCACATCACGAGTCCAATACACGTCAACTGGTGGGTCTAATATGCATTCACAAATGCGCTGATGTTATTTATACAATTCAGTAATCTGAATAATAGTAAATCATTATTTTCTGTGAATAAAAATTCAAAATGAAAAGCAAGCGTAATATAAGAGGGGCCTGGAGACGTGACTTATGAACAGAGAAAATGTTTCAGTGCCAGGAATGTCTGCATTGTTTATTCTGACCCCTATTTTGAAATTGGTCTTTCTTGAATTTTGTGTGAAATTGGCCAAATTTGTAATCTGATCATTTTTTGTGTAGTTGAAATAGGTAAATGGGCGGTTTCTTGTACTCGATAGAATAAGAGGAGCTCTAGCAAAATAACTGAGTTTGGTCAAGTGGAACAAAGGGATTGGCCCAAAATTGGGCAAAATTGCTGATGCATAAATATCGCTGAGACTGCTAACTTCACGAGAACGTAATTCCTTAAGTTTGTTGGCAAAATTTAAGCTTTTGGTTTCATTACCTTTGGAGAAAGATTCTCTATCATTTCATAAGAATTTTTTTTTTCTTTTTTAAATTCTTCAACACTACGAGCAAGTTTGCAAGTAGGGGTCTTGACACTCAGAGGGTTAACCCTTTTGGGGTGGGTCCCATTGTACTACAGCTTTGAAGCTCGGGTCAGTCCCATAGTACTGTACCTCACCATTAGTTCAGCTCATTCAGATAAGCTGTGAGTGGTAAGTTTGCCCTAGATGTGAAAGAATGGGTCTATATGATAAGTGTGCACCACATAAAAAATCCTGTAGCACACAGTGCATAATGAGACAAAAAAACTGTGACCATATTTTTCGTTTAAAACAGCAAATTTGCGGTGTACATTCACATGGTTTTTAGGGTCGTATTTTCGGTTTCTTGATTTCATTTGATAGAATGGAAGATATATTACAAAAATAGAGATGATTCTGATTGGTTTCAGGAGTAAAAGTAGCTTGAAAGTGAGCTCAAAGTAGCAGAAATGTTAGATTTTCCTGATATTCAACTGGTTGGTCTAATACTACATGTCCACAAATGTGCTGACATTATTTATACAATTATTACAATAATGCAGTAGTCTGCTTAACAATAAATCTTATTTTTTTGTGTGAATAAAAATTGAAAATGGAAAGCAAGCGTAATACATGCACATATAAGAGAGGCCTGGAGGCATAACTAATGAACAGAGAAAATGTTTTTTAGTTACAGGAATGTCTACAATGTTTATTTTAGACCCTATTTTTAAATTGACAATTTTTTTAATTTTATGTGAAACTGGCCAAATTACCAAGTTGTGATCACTTTATTGGGTAGATAAAATAGGTAAATGGGCAGTTTCTTGTACTCGATAGAACAGAATACTAGTGGAATAGCTATGAGTTTGGGCAACTGGAACAACTGACTTTGCTGAAAATTAGGCTTGGTGGGCGAAATCGCTGATGCATAAATATTTCCGAGACCGCTAACTTCTGTAATTTTTCCATCAAATTTCGTACTTTTGGTTTCATTACCTTCAGAAAAAAGATTCTCTGTCATTATATAATTTTTTATTTTTAAATTCTTTCACTCTGAAACCAATTCTCAGATCAGGGGTTCTAACCCTGAAAGGGTTAATTTCAGGGGTCTAGACAATTGGAGGGTTAAATAACATGATACACCTACCATCCGACTTACGACCACTCGACTTATGACCGTGTTTTTTACACCAAATTTCTGGGAAATAAACAACTACTGTATTTGTGTTGTACACAGTGTTTATCCTAAACCTTACAGTATAAAATACAGTACTAACAACATTAAAAAGTAAAGTAAAACATGAAGTACCAAAATAAAACAATAAAATAAAGTCATTACAAAAATGTTTTGTTGATATTCAGTAGTAAAGTTCGACTTACGACCGGTTTCTCGGAACCGAACTCAGTCATAAGTCGGATGGTAGGTGTATTTAGTTTATTAATTTATAAACAATATGGCTTCCACAGAAACTAAGATTAATAAAACTGATGTGTTTTTTTGACAATCTTTCTTTCAACAAACGGGCTGATTTTTCATCACCTAGTAAGATACAATATACATTATTTCAGGGAGTCGCATGAATTGTAATGTATGCACAGCTTTGAATGAATAGTGGTGAATGTTATTCATTCCTTTTTTGGGGTTATCCTACACTGGGAGGAGACAGAAGCTGTGATTTTAGAAAGTATATACAGTAAAGCCTACCTATCTTAATGGCATCCTGCTTTATATTATGTCTGTCCTTTTTCCACAAGGGGTTCTTTTCTTTGCTCTTCTCCATACGTTTCTGCCGAGCCTTTAGGACTGATCGATTTTCCAAAGAAAACTCAACAATAGGCCTCTGTCGAAAAATAAAAAGTAAAGAGAAACTAAAAGAACATTAAATTTATGGTACATAATTCTGTTGCAGTATTAGGCTGATTTTGTAAGTGATGAATTAATTTCTTAAATTAACAGGCTGAAAAATTATAATGCATAAATAGTGTTGTGCTATATTACATAAATGTAAATGCTGTATGTAATTGAAACCAACAAGCAATACCTAATACCTCAGATGGCTAGACAACACCATTATAGCAATGTCCTAGAGAGCTAGACCTTTGGGATTGAGTAGTTAAAAGTAAAAAAGAACCCTGTTTTCAGAAAGGTATACAGTGAGGATGTCATCCATGTAACACAACCATGTGACGCTGGTGGGGATGATGATGGGGATGCGTTCAGCTTCCAGGTGTTCCATATACAAGTTAGCTAAGACACTGCTGATGGGGGACCCCATTCACATACCATAGGTTTGTTTGTAGAGCCTATTACATCCTTTACCTCCCAGAGATTTCATTGACTTGACTTAACTCTGCTGAACTTCAACTGTTTTTCTTTCAATAACAGGTTCTACAAATAAACCTATGGTATGAGAATGGGGTCCCGCATCAGCACTGTCTTGGATAACTTGTATATGGAAGCTGAATGCTTTGCCAACATCATCCCCACCTGAGTTACTTGGTTATGTTATGTGGACAACATCCTCATAATAACTCCCAAATGTTTTGATGTGCAGAATCTTCAGGAAGGCTCAACACAGTCGAATTGGCTGTATAATTCACACTTAAGGAAGAATCCAATGACAAGCTACCTTTTCTAGACATCTTCATTCACAAAGTAGATAACACACTAAGGTTAAATTTACAGGAAGCCTACAAACAAAAACAACCTCACAAGCTTTTATTCCAGTCAAGATACTAAGACCAAAAGAGGCATCATCACTGGATTTTTCCTAAGAGCATACCTAATTTGCAGTACAGAGTTTCTTGACAAGGAGTTTTCATACATACACCAAACCTTCACCAAGCTACATTTTCCTCCCTTTTTCACCAAAGACTGCAAGAAAAGATGCTCTTCAGATCATCAATTCTCCACACACCAGCACCACTCCTAACAGTTATAATCCTGCCCTACAGCCAGGTTGAACTGAACGTTTCTAAAGTACTCACACAAGCTAACACTAGAGTAGCCATTACAAACAGTACTTCCATAAAAGACCTGACTAGGAAGAAATTGAAGAATTTTGAACCAATCAATGCAGGAGTTTATCCTATCTCCTGTGGAGACTGTGACAGAATATACTTAGGTGAAACAGTAAGAAACCTTGAGACAAGTCTGAACAAGTTAATGCATGTAGGAATGATAACTTGAACAATGCCTGTGTACAATACTGGAATTCTGCCAACCACCTGATGAAATTCAAAGATGCTTCCTAGTGATTAAAGAATGCAATTTCCATAGACGTAAGTGCCTTGAATCATCATTAATTGCTATTTCTAACAAACGGAATAAAGGCAGCTTCATCTCTGAAGTATCAGCAAGAATTCTCCTCAAAACAAACACACAGCTATTACCACAAGTACTACAACTACCACTACTACTACTACCTACAATGATTATATTATGCTTTGCACCTCATTCTATACCTATATATACCCTCTATATACCTGTATTGTTTGTAAAGGCTTGACAAAGCTCCTGGAGAGGAAAACGTTGCCACAATAAAATGCCGCATTAGTTGCATTTGCGACCTTTTACCTAACATGAACTGTTTCACCTATAGTATCACAACTTGTATTCTTCATAACTGTTCAATTTACCAAAGAAAGTATATGAGAGATATAATTGTTGAATAAACCTGGGATAGTAAAGTATATGGGTAATAATAAAAAGGCTAAAAAAAAAAAAAAAGAGTAAAGAAACAGATGTTTTAACAATGGAACATGGAATAAATCTTCAGAATTGCTATGGACCTCCACCAGATTTTCCTCAATCTTCATCCTGGCCAGTTTACTGTCTTTTGGGTCCCAGCATGTTTGCAAAATGTTCAAGTAAAATTTCTGTAAATTTATGATACAAGAGTGAAGTTGTTTGATGACAGAGAAAAAAAAAAAAAAAAAAAGCAAGCACTAGATGGGTAGATTTTTAGGAGCTTGGGAAAAAACATTTGTGTGTACTTACTTGATCATTAGTGAATATATCAGGATTATTGTTGATTTTCCGAAGGGCAGCAAGGGCATGTTCATGTTCCGTGAAGGTGACAAAGCCATATCCACGGCTCTTGGGTATACCATTTTCATTTAGATTTCTAAAATCTCGCATTATTCGAGCCTAAAAAAATATGGTACCTATATTACAATAAAAAATAATAAAGATAACTTCTATGCAAATTCAGTGATAAGCTAAAACTGTAGGTTTTGCATTTGAAATTTTGGACATGCACAGCAGAATCCCCACTTTGCAACAAGGTGTTCTAGAGACAAGTGAAGAGGAAAACATTCCGGTTTAATTTCTCCATTAAATTTAAACATTGATGGGTGTATCAATTAATCATCAATGAACTGTAAACACAATATGAACATGATACAGCAAAAGCAATACAATACATACTTATCCACTCAAGATCTGGTGGAGCTGGGTATTACTGTAGATCGTATTCAATGTACACAATAGAAGTGAAAGAAATGGAGGTGTTGTTACCTGGAGGTCATCAGCATAAAAAAGGGAAAAAATGGGTCACAGCTCATGTAACAAGGTAAAGCACAGAATGAGTCAACATAAGAGTGGAACCATCAAAAATGAGTGGACACAGTAAGAATGTTACAGCATATTAGACATTTAAAAGGAAATCAGTGTGCTCTTTGTAATAAAAGTGAGCAAATAGTGGAAAATGTACTTCACTAGATCAAGGAACATCTAAACAGGAGACAGAATGGTGGTCTGGGAAGTACAGTGGAACCCCGGTTTTCATCCTTAATCCGTTCCAGAAGGTCGGTCGAAATCCGAAATGGACAAAGACCGAAGTAATATTTCCCACAAGAAATAATGTGAATCCAATTAATCCGTTCCAGACACCCAAAAATATTAATATAAAATACATTTTATAGATAATAATTATAGTGTTGCAGCTCTTCAGTGGTTAGATCTTCCCTGTGGTCGTCCACCAACTCTTTCACATCCTGGCTATTCACATCCATCCCCATGGATTTCCCCAAACACACAACAGATTCCACAACAGGCATAGGGTTATCATGTTTACACTAACTTATGTTATGTTAGTAATAGAACTAGGCATTAAAAAACGCAATAAAAAGTAAAATACATACACAGTACATTCATTATTTACCTTAAAATATTTGTAGTCTTAATGTAGGGCGAGAGATGAGTAGTACTTATTTCTAGGAAGTCAGGTGTAGGTAGCCGGTAGATGTAGGTACTATGTAGTACGCCTGGGCTACATACCTACACCTACGTATCTATTAATGCGGCCCAGAGCCATATTATTACCATCGACATACCATGTTCACTGAGTTTAATTGTTTCTAACAACTACCTTAAGATGCCATCATAAACAAAGGGAAAAGTAATGAATAATTCATGCCGAGAATTGTAAACAAAAGCGTTATGTATTAAGGGGGGTGACTGGGCCATTGTAGATTCATACATGTTTTCTCTGATGCTGGACCAGAGAAAACATAATGTTTTCCCTCCACCCGACTACCACCCCTCAATAGCATATAAACACTGCATGTTTTTATGCTATGTAACATGTTTCTTATATAATTTTGAAGAAAACAACATAAATGGATTAATGAAAATGTCTATATTAACATAAAATAAGACATTTAATGTGCCCAAGAGTGATTATATTACGTGTAAGTATTATTACTATGGCGTGTCTGATACAGACATTTTCCGAGCTGAAGTATGAAACCTGGGGTAAAATTTCACGCAAAAAAGTGATTGAAATCCAAATTGCACGGTATCCAGGGTTTCACTGTAATGGATAGATGGGCATGACTAGCAGATCCCTACAAGGTTCCATACTTAAACCTGAACAGCACAATGACAAGATTTTGGTTTTCAGTCTGTAATGTCAAAACTTCACCTACACCATTTGAGGTGTTTAGTAGTTCTAAGCAAATGAGCAACTCTGTGATGTACTGGCCAACCTTTCTCCCCCCCTTGTTGCCTGTTTAGTCTGTCGCATCTGAATAGGTCATAACATGGGATCCATATTTTGTTGTCAAAATGATCCTTTGTATAGGTCTCTGTGAAAGCTGCAAACATTGCATTTGACTCCATGAGCAATCCCTTGATGCAAGGAATTTTGTTGTTTGTTGATGGCTTTAGACCCTGTATGTTTGCAAAGATAAATGTTATATTGATGGAATTATAAGGGGGTTTTATTTGCTGGCTTTAATATCTGCTGTTCTGGAGTGGAGGCCAATGACTGTGCCTCTGCTCCAGAAGTGTTTTCAGTTGGTGCAGGATTTCTGTCATTTCTTGCCAGTTTTTTTCCTTCCTGGCACTAAAAAAAATTCCTTCTCTGGAGAGGTTATGGCTCCCCTCTTTTGTTTCCCATAGTCTGGCTGGTCTGTGCCTTTTTGTCGCCTTTAGATGATGTGCCTGGCAGTAACCGTTGTAGCATTTTCTTTAATAGACTGATGACACATTTCAGGGTGAAATAACTTACATGAAGGGAAGTTGCACCCTCCTGTTATCATGTGGGTGTGGCATTTTTTGGAATGGTCAAAGGTGCATGTCCCACCTGTTTTTTCCAGATATACCATGCCTGCAGATACCCAAGGCACAGAATTTGCATAGATTGGAATTTTGTTTGCTAGGATTTGTTGTGGTTGTGTTCCCTGCTGGTGCATTTTTTTGCTTCCCCACTACCTACCGCCCCTCTATGGACATCAGTGCTTCTACCAGTTTTTACTGGTAATGTGTCAACACTATTCCCTGAGGCATCATAACCTTTTGTTCCATTTCCAGCAGTATCGCTACTTTGTACCTCTGTAAATTGAATAACGTCATTTTCTGTTTCATCGCCAGGGCTACTATCTCCATTTGGTATGTTGCCCTCCAGGACAACACTAGCACCCTCTGGAGCACTGTCTTCCAAGACAGCACCACCCAACCCACCCATTTTATTTTCCCAGCTGTCACACCAAGCTGACATGTCTTGCAAGAAGGATATTTTATTGGTGTTCTTATCTTTTAATACAGATGTAATTTTCTCATACAGGTGTATCTCGTTTGGGCAGACCCAAAAACATTTCTCTGATTTTATATCAAAAGTGGTTTCTGGTTTAAAGTTCCTGCACAACCCATGGGACCATTTACCACAGAGATTGCATGCAATCCAGGCATGACTTCATCTGTTACCCTTTCTGCAGACTACACAGATTTTCATGGTGGTGGTCATTTATAACACTTTGCAACTCTCCTAACTTGCTAGACTATAACTACTAAACGTATTTAGTTGTTAGTGTTTAACAGTTCTTTAACAGTTGTTTTGGGTAGGCTGACTAGGATAGGCTTATTATGTAAGATTTTTTTTATATATTGGTATATATACAGTAAGGCCCCGCTTTACGGCATTCCGCTAATACGGCGATGTCAAATTATGCCCAAAATTTGCTATACGGCAAGCGGTCTTTCAAATACGGCGCCCCCCACCCGGTTTGTTTACATTTTCCGTGACCACATCTATTATGTCAAGAAACTTTCCAAAATTTCAAGTGTTTTAAAGTTACTGCATATTTTATATGTACTCTGATAATTATACTTAAGTGTACCTGTACCTAAATATACTTACAAACTGTGCTGGTGTGCAGGTACACATTAAAATCGCTAAGTCTCTCTCTACTCATGACGCCAATACTACTTAATAATAATCGCTCTTGGGCACACTAAATGTCTTATTTTACATCAATATAGGCATTTTCATTAATCCATCTATGATATTTTCCTCAAAATTATATATGAAACCCATTACACAGCATATAAACATGATACATACACTTACAGAATAAAAATTGATGTAAATATGAGATTCGTTTACCAAGCAGCTGTGTAGGTAGTGTCGGAAGAATTACGTTTTCTCTAGTCAAACACTGGGGGGTAACTGTAGAAAAATATTCTTTTTGTATGCCTTTACTCTATATACTATAGCAATTCACGACCCTTGTGGGTTTAGTGCTTTATAATAATAAATAATAATATTATTATTATTATTATTATTATCTTCATTCACTCTAAAAATGGTGTGTTGCTGTTTGTTTATTCTGAACTAACTTGTACAACTTGTACACAATGTAAGAGTATTTGTATTGTGAGGTAATTATTATTAAAATAAAAAAATATTGAGGTAAATGTTTTACAAACTCTTACAAATGGACGTGAATGAACTAAAAGTAGACACATTAATACGCATTTATTTTGCCTGACCAAGTGATCGTCCACCTGTTCAGTTCGTGTTCTTACACTGTCTCAACTCTGTATCTCGTTCTCTCTCTCTCGTTTACTCTTTTGTTAACTAGTTGGCTCTCATTGACGATGGCATCTAAGGTTAGCTGTAATAAAAAGAGTAGTCGTAAGCCTGTTGCTTTAAGTGCCAAGTTAGAGGATGATGGTGTGCCATTCTGATTTTATTCAATAAACACCCTGCCACTCACCTCTCACACATTAATATTAATATTTTAAGGTAAGTAATAAGTGTACTCTGTGTGTATCATACCTTTTACTGTGTTTTTAATGCCTATTTATATTGTTAAATTTAAATATAAGTTAGTGTAAACTTGTTGTCTGGCATTTATTGCATATTTTATGTGCGCTCTGATAATAATACTTGTGGAGTTGTGTGGTAGCCGGGTGGAGGGACAACATTACGTTTTCTCTACTCAGCCATCAGAGAAAACGTGTATGAATCTGCGTTTGGCCCAGCCACTCCCTCACTCCGCTTTTGTTTACAATTTTCGGCATGAATTATTCATTACTTCTACATTCGTTTATGATAGCATCTAAAGGTAGTTGTTAGAAATGATTAAATTCAGTGAACATGGCATGTCGATGTTAATAATATGGCTCTGGGCCACAGTGTAGGTAGCCGGTAGGTGTACGCATTACACCTACCGGCTACACCTACCGGCTACCTACACTGACTTTCTACAAATAAATACTACTCACCTCTCTTCCAATATTAAGACTACACATATTTTAAGGTAAATAATGAGTGTACTGTATGTGTATTTTACCTCTCTGGGATGTTTTAAATATCGTATATTAAGTATGAGACGGGGAGCCAGGGCTACCTACACCTGGGCTACCTGCACCTGACTTCCTACAAATAAGTACTACTCACCTCTCTCCCTACATTAAGATTACAAATACTTTAAGATAAGTAATGAATTTATTGTGAATGTATTTTACTTTGTGTGTTTTTAATGCCTAGTTCTATTACCAACTTAATATAATTTAGTGTAAACTTGTTGTCTGGCATTTATATGCATTTATAAATGGAAAAAAATGGCGTCCTGCCTTCCGGCGATGTCTGCTTTCCGGCGACAGCCCGGAACCTAACCCGCCGTATAAGTGGGGCCCTACTGTACTATAGTTTGATATATATGAATTTCAGGTATTTTAGTTTCAATCCCATACAACAATCTTTATATAAACAGTATCAAAGTGTTGGAATGTACAAAAATAACACTAATTATACAGAACATAATAAAATATCAAACCTCAGTGATTTTGGCACCATCTGGTGCATGCTTGCTGAAAATTGCATGTAGTTGTTTGTACCAATTTGGGCTGGCAATTATTGATGCAAGAGAATTTTGAGCAAAGATGTGCAAAATTTTGCAACATTCGCCGTTTAACCTGTTCCCCTCCTGGTGCGTAGAGCAAAATCAGTATTTGACACACCCAAATGCTGCTCGAGTTCCTGACAACAACTGGAAAAAAAAAATGCCAAAAATCTAAGCTATGAGTCAACAACAGACAATATTTCATGCACTTCTAAAACTAAAGAGAAATGAAACTGAATAAAGTCTGAAAATCAAAATATAGGTGCAAAGACTTACTGTATTGATTCGAATATACTATAAAAAAACTGCAAACTATTGTGGAACCTCGGTTGTCGTATGTCCTGGTTTTCGTAGGATTCGGTTTTCGAATTTTGTCCCAGTTTTCGTACATCCGCTCGATTTTTGTAGAGTTGACAATGGTCCGCCGTAACAAATGCATCCGCCTGCCCGCGCCCACACAAAGCATCCCACGCATTCTGACTCAGTCTGGCTTTGTTTCTCGTTGAGTGAGCATTACCCTGAGCATTCATCCAAAACATTTCGTAATAATCCATTGTTTTCTGTGCTTGTTTATTGAGTGTAACTGCTAAATAAGCCACCATGGGGCCAAAGAAAGTTCCGAGTGCCAGCCCTTTGATAAAGGTGAGAAACACGATAGAATTCAAGAAAGAAGTTGTAGCAAAGTATGAAAGTGGCATATGCACGGCCGATCTTGCCAGTAAAAGACAAAGAAGGGAAGTAACCCCTGATAGGGCCTTGATACCTGAAGTCCTTATGGAGAGGGATTCCCCTTCCAAACAATAACCTCTCCTCCTCCCTCTCCCCTCCTTGCCGTCTTCCATATGCCAACAAAAGTCTTCAATAAAGGTAACAGTGATGCTAAATGTTCATTTATCCATTTCATTAGTCATTTATATTTATTTCTCATTGTTTTCTGTATGTAAAACTATAGTTATTCTCTATAAAATGCAATTTTTGTTAATATTTTTGGGTGTCTGGAACGGATTAATTGGATTTACATTATTTCTTATAGGAAATATTGCTTCAGTTTTTGTAAAATTCAGTTTTCGTCAGACTTTCTGGAATGAATTAATCACAAAAACGGAGGTTCCACTGTATATTGTACTGGACTCAAACTACGACTATTATCAGGGGAGAAGTACTAAACCAATAGGGGGTTATAAAGTGCCCGGGAAGCAATGAAATTCAATCCAAGGAAGGTTAGGATAGATTCAGTTCCTTGGATCAAGAGCTCTTCACCAGGATTAAGGCACCTCTTGAAGGAATTATAAAATGTACAGAATATTTTACCATTTAGTTAAGTGAGCAATACAGGTCAGAGAATATATACCAAGAGGTGTGCTTACATCTTAAGTGTACATAAGCTGAGAGATTATTTTAATCACCTTTAGAAATTTAAGTGTCCTGGGCTAGTGTTGTACAGGTGACATGGATCCTTAATGACCTTAGTCTAACTGACAGGCTTTAAACCAAATAAACCCACCATCTACTTTAGTGAAGCACAAGGACCAACCAACTCACTAACTAATGACCTCACACAAAAGTCATGACTGATGAAACCTTGTATTCCAGATGCACACCATTTAATATACTGAAGTTAAGCAAATAACTCTGATTTTCCTGTATTTCATTGAACCTATGTACAAGATATTATCTGTAAACATTAAAGGAAGTGTTTTCTTACATCCTTCACGAGCCAAGTAAAGATTTCTTTTATCTTTCGTTATTTTTTCTAGATCCTTCTCACTTTTCTTCCTCTCTAGCTCCATTCTGCTAATAGCTCTCATGATGTGCATGGGCCGACCATAAAGAATAAATTCATTCTTTGCAGCAGGGTTTGTTGCTGCTGCTAAGCACGCATCAGCTGCTTCACGTTCCTGTAAAATTTAGTTAATCAGTATTCTGAAGATACATTGCAAAGGTTGGCGAGTAAATTTGGGAGGGTACATAAAAGATGGAGATTAAAACTGAATGTAGAAAAGAGCAAGGTGATGAGAGTAATAAAAAAAAAAAAAAAAAAAAAGTCCAGGTAATGACTGACTATCAGACTGAAGAGAGGGAATATGGAACAACTGGATGTGTTTAGATATTAAAGAATGAACATCTCGGCAGAGGATCTATGAAAGACAAGGTGAACCAGAGAATGGATGAAGGGGGGAAAAGTTTGGTGGTGTGTTAAGGCATCTGTGGAAAAATTATGTTTATCTATGGAGGCAAAAAAAAAAAAAAAAGCGAATGTACCAGAGTATAGTTGTACCAACACTTTTACATGGAGTGAGGCATGGGTTTTGAACACTGCAGCGAGGAGGGGGCTGGAGGTAGCAGAGATGTCATGTTTGAGAAAATTGTGAGATGTGAATATTATGCAGAGAATTTGGAGAGAAACTAATAGGCAATATGGGGTCACCAAAGATATAATTCAGAGGGCTAAGGAGGAGGTTATTAAGGTGGTTTGGCCATATAAAGAGAATAGAGAGGTATATATTGACAAGGAGGGTGTATATATATTTGAGATAGAATGTAGGAGAATTGGGATCACCCCAGGAATGGTTGAAGAGAAGGGGGTAAAATAGGCTTTGAATTTAAGGGGTTTGAGCATACAACAGGCTTGTGTGAGCATGTTAGATAGGAGTGAATAGAGATGGGTTTTTAATGGACATGCTATTTGCAGGGAATCTGATTAACTGAACTTGAATCCTGGAGGTGGGAAGGAAGGGGTGAGGATGTTGAAATCAGATGACAATCTGAATGTGATATCAGCACACTTCTAGAAAAACAGTGTGTGAATGAATGATAGTAAATGTGTTTTCATGTATGGTATATTTTTTAACTTAACTGTTGTCTACTGCCAAGGCAGAGTGACCCCAAACAATAAAACACATTCACTATCATTAACTCAATCACTGTCTTGCCAGAGGTATTTTGACAACATAATTCAGACTACCCTCCAACTACAACATTCCTTCCCTCCTTCAGAGTGCAGGTACTAGCCTTCCCACCTCCAGACTCAAGTTCAGCTAACTGGTTTCCCTCTGAATCCCCTCAAAAATAAAAAAGTTATCACCCTCACACTCAGTCACACTAGTTTCACAACCATTTATCTGAGTTGGGTAATGACACCTTTATGTAACCACTTTATTTCCAACATTATTCTACAATACAAATATACTGCACAGTACTCTCAACTTCACTTATACAAATTCCCCACTTGCAAAACACCAACAACAAAAAAATGGCTGTGACTATAGTAATAGTCCTACTAGAAATTAAACTATAATTCTATATTTTAAAAATAAAGTAAATGATCTATCAATAGTGCAGCTATTAACCAGAAGTCATGACTGGACACCACTGTAATAGCAGCCAGATAAATAGACAGACACATCTGCAAGCTAGCAAATAAACAGCTCACCGTCTAAAATAAAGCTGGCTAATCATCCCCATCATCTCTGTTCCAGCCAGTTTATTATGGTTTTGTGTGTGCTTCCAAGTGAATATTTTATGGCTTGGCTCAAATTTATGTATCTATACTAAAAACATGTCTAGAAGCAGCACAAGTAAGTCTAGTGCTATAAGAGAGAAAGAGAGAGAGAGAAAGCTCACAAGTCTTTCAAAACTAAGTAGATGCTAGCATATGACCTCCGCAACCGTGGCAATCACGAGAGAATACAAATAATTGTCTTGGCTATGACATTTTTTTGTTCAGAACACTCCAACAACTGGAGGCAATATGTCCCTTTTTGCCACAATTGTAGCATGTTTTACCACTATTATTACTCTATGTGCTATTAGCGCTGAACGGTTACTTGCTGCACTAGCCCTGGAAGAGGGACAGGAAGGAATGTTATTCCCATCTTGAGGAGTGATAAGATACGCGGAACCTCGGTACTCAAACAGCTCCGTACTCGAACAATTCAGTGTTCGAATGCTTAGTTTGGTAAACAAATCGCTTGGTAGTCGACCATTTGCTCGGGACTCGACCAACAAACACAACCTGCCAGAACTTCGCTGTAAACTATTTCATGTTTCTTCACATTTTTTGGTGTTTTTTTATATTATTTGTATAAATAAGTCACCATGGGGCCTAAGATAACAGACAACCAAAAAGAAAATTGTTTGGGAAAAATTAATTCGGTACTCAAACAAATCTGCATTCGAACAGCCTTCTGGAACCAATTAAGTTCGAGTGCCGAGGTTCCACTGTAGTTGTAGCAAGCACAAAAATTAATGAGAACCTTAGCAACACCAGGTGAGGCAGATCAAGAAAGACTATTCTTTGCTAATCTAATGAAATTGGTTTCTGAAGTTTGACCTCCACCAGCATTCTGAAAAACAGTGAACTAAGTCTCTACGTTGCTAAGGTTACTTTCACAAGTAGGAACAGTATCTAAGGGATCACATTGGTAAGGAACCCTTAATATCTTGGTGTGTCATGTTTGCATCATTAGTTATGTCACCCATGTGATCAAGTGCTCCAACATCAACAATGCCAGAAACAGAAAGCGAGTCGAACATGGTTACAGCCAAAGTCACATTTTTTTTAAACTGATGGACAAATTAATTTTTGGCTGAGATACACTGATATATAGTATGAAAATATTTAAAGTGACATGTTTTGCTGATATATCTTTGATGAGTTTTGAGAGTTTATCTACTCCCAGAACCTGGCCTTGGACCAGTTAAAAAAATTATAAAAATCTAGTCTCATGAATTCTTGACTTCTCTAACTGGATGAACCTGTACATAGATAAGGCTCTGTTCCATATACAGTACAGTATTTATGCCACCCAAATGACTGAGTGCCCACTGTACTAAATAAAAATACTGTATAATCACTGAAAGATACCTTACCTTGAATTGAGCAAATGCTGTTCCACGTGGATGTTCAGTGAGTTGGTCTATACAAAGGAGTACATACTTCAACTCTCCAAATTTTCGCAAGACTTCTGCAATATCTTCGTCAGTGGCAGCGAATGGGAGATTTTTCAAGAATAATGTCCTCTCTTCTGTGATATCCTTACTTGGGCCTTGTGCAGCAGGAAATTTTGCCTTAACTGGCATAGGTTCTTCCTCATCATCATCATCATCCTCACTCTTACTACTGTATGATTCATCACCATCATCTAATTCACTGTCACTAAGTTCATTGCTACTTTCTTTTTCCTCTTTTATCTCTGTCTTTATATCATCATCTTCCTCATCACTATCTTCTTTTTCATCATAACTTAATACCTCTTCCTTGACCTTTATTTCTTTAACTTTATCTACATCCATGGAAATTTCAGTACTAGTTTTATATGGCATAAATTTTTCTTTTTCTACAGCTAAATCCACAGCAATTAGCCTTCCTGAAAGTAAAAATAAAAAATAAGCAAAACAGTAAGGAGAATTCTATTAGAAGGCATTTCTGTTGTACTGTAATATAACATTTTATTGTAAAGGCACAGTATTTGAAGAATATCCTGGTAACGTCAATATACAGTGGTACCTCGGGATACGAATTTATTTAATTCCAGAAGGCTGTTTGAGTGCCAATACTGAACAAATTTGTTCCCATAAGGAATAATGTAAATTAGATTAATCTGTTTTCATATCCCGAGGTACCACTGTATATTAGGATAATATAAAGTATCACATGAAATGAAAGAAGAAGAATGTAAAATTATTTAGACAGCAAAGTGCTGAGCAGAAGACCTGGAATTAATCTTGAATTGTTCAGAAAATAAAGAACAGTGGAAGCAGTGTAGCAGAGTGAAAGTCATTACATGAACAAACCATAATATTGTAAGTAGTATTGTAAAAGTGAAAGAGGAAAATAATTAATATTGAATACAATGCCTAAACTCTAATGGAGGGGTGAGGAGGATGCAGTTCGGAAGATCATATGAACTGTGATGTGAACACACTTCCGGCAAGACAACAACTGAGTGAATAACAGTGACTGTGTTTCCTCTTTTGTGGGTCAATCCCACCACCTCAGTGGGAGTCAGCAGGTGTATTAAAAAAAAATCTTATTTTTAAAGCTAGTTATCTATGAGATAAGTGAATGCAATATGCTTTTAGAAAGGAAAACAAAATATATTGAAAGGAAAATGCTTAAGTGAAAACAAATGACACATCATTAAAAGACAGTACTTAGTGAAGTCAACCAGCTGTATAGTATATAATCACTTTTTAACTTGGAAGAATAAGACTTTAATCAGTGTTTATTGATGGGGTTCTTTAGATGCAACCCACAACAGCCAACTAACTCAGAAGTACCTCTATTGTTAGGCAAACAGTAAGTAGTTTATCAGGATACACAAATACAGTTACATAGATATCATAACATAGGCAGCTTAAACAGGTAATAACCCAAAAAAGTGAGTGACTTATTACCAGGGGTCCTTTTAACAGAAGGGTTGGAATTTCCTGGGATGAACTCAGTGCCTCAAGTGAGCTGAATGATCATCACTGAGCTACATAACACATTTCCCTGTTCCTTACACTATTTTCTCCTACATACAGTTCTTGAAGACCTTATTTCAAATTAAACTATGTATACTGCAAAAGATATGCTGCAATACCAAAAATATCCTCCACTTACCTAACAAGGGTTTCATATTGCACTCTGTAATAGCTTTCAGTGCTTCTGCTTTTTCATTAAACTGAACAAAGGCACATCCCACCATCTTTCCATCTTTTTTGCGTAGAATTGACACTTCTCTAATTTTTCCATACTTTGAAAAATGCTCTTCAACTAATTTCTCGTCAGCCTGAAAATTTGAAAAGATAAACTGCTTTAATAATTAATAATAATGATAACTAGGGATTTTATAATTCTTAAGCACCTGTTCTTTCAAAAAGTTCACAAGCACTCGCACATCAAACCATAAATACAACAAGTACAATAAAAAATTATAAAGTTTTACTCATGAGTGACAATATGATCATCAGGATTGTAAGCTCTAGAAAAGAGGTGTGCTGAGACCTGAAAGCATAAACAGATTCCCGAGTTTAACAACACTGGTAACCTGTTATACAGTCCAGGAGCTGCATAAGAAAAGGCTCTTTCTGAAAATGATTTCTTCCCAACTGCATGAGGCTCAATCATCCAAGTCCAAAACTAAAGCAAATTTTAATACCATGTGACATCTTATTGAAAATTTTGAATATTGCACTTGAGTGTAGGTGAGATACACTTGAAGGGGGTTTACTATCTTCATAAACGTTATTTACAATTTGTTTTTATGAACAATGTAAAATTTGGTATCAGGGCCATTAACTAATTTGTAGTTTTTTTCATTGATGAAGCACTATACTGAAAATATCATATCTAACTAAAGAGAAGTAAAATCTGTAGCATAAGACCAGGCCATGGGGTTGGAGATCCTCAGACCTATTAACAAATATGACAGATATATGGTAACATTTTATCATATATACATGTACAATAAACCATACCAGCTAGCCACAATATTGTGGCTAGCTGGTCTAGTGGCTAACGCGACGGGCTGGAGTTTTGAGACTCTATGACCGCGGGTTCAATCCCGGCCGGGGGTATGGTTTGTTTGCAATCGTGTCATTACGATTTCTTGAGTCATGTACAATAAAATTCTTTGCATTAACTAACATATTTATTTATTATTTATTATCACACTGGCCGATTCCCACCAAGGCAGGGTGGCCCGAAAAAGAAAAACTTTCACCATCATTCACTCCATCACTGTCTTGCCAGAAGGGTGCTTTACACTACAGTTTTTAAACTGCAACATTAACACCCTGGTTGGTAGACAGCAACCACCCAGGGAAGTACTACCGTCCTGCCAGATGACTGTGAAACAAAAACCTGTAACTGTTTTGCATGATGGTAGGATTGCTGGTTTTCTTTTTCTGTCTCATAAACACGCTAAGATAACAGGGATATCTTGCTACTCCTACTTACACTTTGGTCACACTTCACAGACACGCACATGCATATATATATATACATACATCTAGGTTTTTCTCCTTTTTCTAAATAGCTCTTGTTCTTTTTTATTTCTTCTATTGTCCATGGGGAAGTGGGAAAAGAATCTTTACCTCCGTAAGCCATGCGTGTCGTATGAGCGACTAAAATGCCGGGAGCAATGGGCTAGTAACCCCTTCTCCTGTATACATTTACTAAAAAAGAGAAGAAGAAAAACTTTATAACATATTGTAACTTCCAAAACTGTCAGCCCCAACAATGCCCACAAGGTGCCAGAACACAATGTAACCTACAAAACAGATTATGCCACAAAAAGGATCATCACATACAGTGTCAAGCCCATCACTTAAGTAATCTTTACACAAATACCTAAATACTGCAAACTGTAAGTGCCCCTTTACTACCACAGTATATTACAACTGCAGATTTTCCCTTTATCACAATATCCTAAAAAATTAAAGCATTGTATGCTAATTATTGCATATACAGTACTAGCACTGCCCTCTTGATTAAACTTTAATCAAGAGGTATGCAAGTAATATTAGAGCATACCAATACTTATAAGATACGTCCTCAATACATACATACCCCCTCCTACCAGTGCAATATCTGTAGAATACCATCTGTTAATAGTCTATGGTCAATCTACTCAGATCTGGGCATAAAACACCAGCTTTGAACATCATAAGTTCACCAAGTTGTTTTAATGATTATTACTAATAATTTTTTTTACTAAGATAATTATTTTGGGATTCAA